ATTCTCCATTTCCTCATTATATATCACAGAAGCTTTAACTGTATTTTTATGATTTTAAGTATGTGACCTTTTTTCTTTCAATTTTCCTTAAAACTTTCTCGTTACTCATACATCCCGTCCATACGAAAACAGACCAGATCGATGTAACCGATCCGGTAACCCACGAAATAAATCCGAATGAAATTGAAAATATCTTGACGTTGTTGTCAGAGAGCATTGGAAACGGATCCGATGTGTCTGTAAATGACTGGAGAGAAATGAGAATTAAAGGAAGAGTTGGAACTACTTAAACGACGGCATTACAGAAAAAATGTCGGTACCAAGAAGCATGCTGGAACTTTAATGAGACTTATCATTTAAGCACTAATAAAAGCTATTAGTGACGGAAACACACCATCAGTAAAAAAGAATTGAATGAAACTGATAACAGTGTTGATTACCTCGAGGAGAAAGGGACACCTTAACAATAATGTTGGTGTGTTTTCCGCCATTTCATTAGCACTTATTGTACATATCTTCATGCATATTTTTGAACGATCTCTTATTTATTGTATACGTCCAAAGATTTCCTAAAAAAGAGCATATCATGATGAAAATAGACCCCAGACTTGATAAAAACAAAGTTTTATCCTCAAAATGTTTATGTTATTATAAAGAGGAAAGACCAAAGTATTTTTGATCATTTTAAATGTTATTAAATTTTTAATCTTTTCTAGCACGTTCGAAATTTTGGTTAAAATTCTTGTTTTTCTTGCGTCAGCGGGTGGGCAAGATAATAATCGGATTTTAATGAAATTTTCAGAACTTATTCAGAAAGGAATGAAATTATTAAAATTTTTTTTTTTTTTAGAAAATCTTGGTAAATTATATATATATATATCTGTTACCTCTCAAATAATTTTATGAAATTTCGAGAAATTCAAATTTCAGACTCTTTATATTTATATTAATTAAAAGCAGAACTTCTATGAGAATTCAAATCAATTTGTTTTTTATCAAACACCATTTACCGAAAATATGCTTTGAATCGTGAAATAAAAAAATGGAATAAACCTATGACATTTAATTGGAAAAGATTTTAACTGTTTTATAAATAAGATATATTAAGAACACTATTGTCCTAAGAAAAAAAAACTGGATGAATAATGAATTTTTTACAAAAATTGTTTCATTTTTAAATTTTAATTAGAAAAATTTATTAAATTTTAAATCTTAAAATTTGATAATAATTTCAGTCTTTTAGATAATATTAATAAGTGAAGACTATATTTACTAATCATAAATGTAAAATCTTAATACAAATCATCAAACACCAATATTTATAAAAGAATTTAGAATTTTTTTGTATGTGTATAAACGTGCTGATTTTTCTAAGTACGGACAACCATACACGACATTATCAGAAAATAAGCGCTATAACTATAGTAAATTTAAAATCAACATTTCTAAAATTCAAAAAAAAAAAAAAAAAAAAAGAAAAAAAAAGGTTACATAGAATATTTTCCTATATTTTAAAGATTACTGATTACTTAAAGATTATATAAAAAAGACGTTTACGTCATTTTTTAAAATTATATTTTCCATAAAGTCTCCGTAGCAAATCAGCTATTTTTCGGTTACAAACGCATTTATGCGATATTTTAAACTCAAAGTAAATAATATTTGTTTCAAATCAGATTAATTATACTTTAAATCAGTTAATATTCCTTAAATAAGGTTTTCAGAAAACTATGTTTCATTTTTGGAAGATTTTTAATAAAAGAGAATTACATTGTGATGAAAGGCGGTTAAAAAGGGAGATAATCAGCTATTTTAGCAAAAAATCTTCTTCCAGTCAAATTAGTTTTTGAAATACATCAGGGTATTTTGCTAATTTGAAATATTGAAATTTAATGTATTAGTTTGAAATTAAAACTAAAATAAAAGCTTCAAGAAAGATATTTTATTTGTAAAAATTCATTTTGAACATTAAGTAAATGTTTTTACGGGGGTCTCTTTACTTAAAGAAATAAAGTGATTGTTTACCTTAAAGTAGTAAACTTCAAGCCTTTACAAAAGCATTGCAGCCAAGTTTGATACAAATGCTAGCAAAATAAGGTTGGTCTCCGTGAATAAAAACGAAACAAGATAAGACAATATAACCAACTGACACGGATTGTGAAGAAAAAGAAAACAGATTTATGTAAGGACAATGCTCTGCTCAAGTGACTTGGATTCAGTCATATGAAAAGATGATACAGATACAAAAAAACTCTATAGAAAATTAAGAAAGGTGTGAACTTTGAAATAACTGAAAAGACACACTCCATCTCAAAAGGACGTTGATGGTTCTCTTCAAGTGTGTGCGAGATAATTCTGGATATACCCTCGAACATCCACCAGCAAGCTGGGCCTCAGAATGGCTGATGGCAAATCAGTCGACCACACTTCAATACAAAGAATGACCTTCCTGCGCCAGTAGCCTTTACTTCCTAAGTGCGTGCCGTTCAGTTACTCTTTGTGCAAACACTCAATGATTGAATGTAACAACCAAAAACTGTACTAGAAGATAAAAAAAGAAAACAGACGGAGACTGGGGTCTACATTCACCTCCATGTTCATAGAAGCGAGTAGACTAGATTTAAAGGAAGAAATGAAGACGTGTCAGATTGAACCTGTTTGTCTCAGCGGACCACAAATTGACGAAAGTGAAAAATAAATGAATGCCAGGAACTAGAACAGGAATTAAAGAAATGTACATTGAAAGTCAGGGTTGATGACACACTTCTAAATAGCGGAATATATATTGGACAAATTCGAAGGTGAATTGAGACTATTCAGACCGCAGTAGTACTGAGACCTGCGACAATATTGGAAAAGGGTCAGAGCTTTGAAGGGACTTGTCACTCAAAATCCAACGTCAGGCACGAAACATCTGGTGGGAACAATTAAATACATGAAAAAACGAATAAAATACAGATTAATGCCTAGTAACCAATCGCTTCAAATGTTTTCGTTGTCTTGCAATGCAAATATTCTGCGAAAGGTGTTCTCTGCCTGAGGTCGTAAGACTTGGAGATCAGCCATAATGCAAGATGGGTTGAAAAAAAGAAAAGAAAAAAACTTGAAGAAGAAATAAGATAATGATAATAAACTAGGAATTTGGAGGGCAAACCGTCTACTTTATGAAGACTTAATTTGATAATCTCCAAAAAGGAAAGGTAAGAAATACTTGCCATATAATTGTAGTTCTGACATTGGACCATGAAGTGCAAAGTAAAAAATAAATTATCCCTGGAGTTACGGAAATATCTGGAATGACAAGTTTTAGGTCCTATTTGTAATTGTTAGCACACTTGACATAGTGCCAAAAATACTATCGGCTAGATTGAATAAATTAGGAATTCATGGAAGTACTGAGACTTCGAGACAACAGAGTTGTTGTTGTGTGTGTGTGTGTGTATGGGGGGGGGGCAACCAGATACAAAAATATCAGTGAAAATAATGAGAAAGCATGGTATGCAATGGAAGAAGAAGTTGTCGCCCTTTAGAATGTGGACTATTATGGCCCTCCTCAACTTCCTATCCCTTGTAGAACCGAGTAATATTTTTATAATTACTATCTTTTCCAATTCCTGTTCTGCTATCCATTTACAACAGCTCATTAAAACGGCTACTCGCTGTTGCCTTTTGTCCTCTTACCTTCAATATGTTCTTTGCGTGTCACATTCTTCACCCCCCCACTCTAAGGGGAAAATATAATAATAATAACAACTTTACCTTGTGTCTCAGGTGAAAGATTTGACAAATAATTGTATGAAACAAGAAATTAATAGAAATATTAGAAGGTAGATTAAAATTATAACCCATACTACAGGGGAGTGTTTATAAAGTAATCGAAAAGGCAAAGAAAAGAATAAAAATATCGATATTTGAGGTTTTTTGACTGATTTGGAGAAGGAAGTCGACCGAGAACCCGTCATCGGCCTCGAACATTATAGTATACTTTACCTTTTCGAGCTAGCATCTAAATTGGAATAATACACGTTTTGCTGCAGAGAATCCAACAGAATTATAAGCGACTTAAATTTTGGAGAAATTAAGAACGACTGTTCCGAGTGGGTGGGATGGATAGCCACTCGGAATGAGAAATTGGAGAACCAAGTTCGAATTCCAGTCGTTCGTTACAATAACTTATGCGCAAATACAAAATGGAGAAAGGTATGAATCCATCTTTTTTACTATGGTTCAATAGCAGGACAGCCTGAGACGTATAGCCTTGACAGGCATCCAGTTTTGGAGAAGGAAAACTGAATTCAAACCAGCCTACAGTGGTTTGGGCTCAGTCAGACTATCTTGCCCAAGACACACCACTGCTACTACGGCTGCAGTACATGTGTTGCCCTTACAACTCTAATCAATTAAGGGACTCGTGATCATGAATAAAAAGGAGGAGAGTTAAAAAGTGCGAGAATGAGAAAAGGTAAGAGGCAAGAAAACTAAAGAAATGTAGAGGAAGGAAACGTGACAGAAGGATGTATAAAGAAGGCTTGTTGAATGCAAAACGGGAGGAAAATTAGTAAAATATTGAAAGACATGGAGTGATAGAAAGGCGGTAAATTTCTGATACATTAAACGGCTTTACAGAAGAACAGAACAAAAGAAAGATAAAAGAGAGGCGACAGCAGAAAATTATTTCTGTTGCATATAAGTAATGTTGGCATACTATTTAGATAAAAACTTTTACATGCAACGAAATTTGACTTATCAGCCCTTCACGGGTTATTTAAAATCAGAAAATATTTTTAGAGTGCAAGATTTATCTTTTTTTTTTAGATAATAATGTTTCAGTGATATAATTCTTACGAATTAACCCATAGCTACGGGAGAAGAGGCGGAGTCATATCTTTTCTAAGCTTATTTGCGTATAAGAGAATATAACGAACCCAACCGGAATTGGAACTCGGCTTTCTGATTAACAACTCCGAGCCATTATCCATTAAACCACACACATATTCAAGCTTACGACACCTGATATCCCGAGGCGATCACCCATCTATGTACTGACCAGGATCCACGTTGCTTAATTTCGGTGATTGTACGGGAACCGGTGTTTCAACGTAATGTGGCCGTAAACCCGAAATGAATACGTGAAAGTGAGAAGATATGTTTATTAAAAACATTATGATCCATGCTTTTGTGGTACAAGGTCAAAGGGAAAAACTGGTCTACACTATGTTACAGCAAGCTAATCCGATTCAGAACCCATTCACTCTACCAATTGACTCAATCACCACAAGGACGCAACATTTCCATTTAATCCAACATATACCACGATACCACATATTCGCCGGGGACCTACAAAAATCACCCGCGATTACTTTTTTCTTGTCTTTTCACACAATTTTCTGAAAAAATAGATAAAAAATCTATCATGAAATGAGGGGTGAACCCAACAACGAAAGCAAAGCAAAACATTAAAACTAAATTAAAACTGTTAGCATGACAGATCCAACCCATTAAAATACGAGTAGTAACTGTATTCTACCGATAAAAAGAATCAAGAAGCTCGCTCATTCGAGGCGCGGGAGAGACAAAATAAATTTAGCAGTGGGAAAATATAAAAAGCTGATCCAGTCTAGATAAAAAAGGGATCCAAAAAGGTGGGGAGACTGAGAATATTGACACGGACAAGACAAAAGAGAACGCCGAGATCAGGCCGGGAACTGCAGTCACTCACATTAACTAAGAGAACAAGAAGAGACTAACTTAACCAAGGATGAAGCCAGTCAAGAAATCCGTCCCGTTGTGACTTGAGGCGACTAAAAAATGGAAATCAAGATTGTTCCAATTCACGCGAACCAGGCTCTTGGTTTGCACCCACCTTTCGCTTAAATCTGCTTAGAGCAAAAGCTTTATTTCAGTTCTAATCTTCATCCTGAGCTGATGTCCAAAGAATCCAATCAGATCCTGATGAAAATAGTATTCTCGTAAGATTCACCCCATCCGCGTCATACACACCATTCTCGTCATGGGCAGACCATGGTGGAAATACATTATCGCACACGTATGCGGGATCGGTGGACATGACATGTTCGGAATCTATACGAACCTTCAACACAGGAAAGTGAGAAGATATGAATGTAATACTATTCTCATCTATCTTCGAGGCGCTATGTCTAGTATAACATATGTTTGAGTTAAATTTAGCATTGAAATATAAGTATAACATTCTTGGTATTTACATGTGTAAAATTCTTTCGGCAGGTGTCTGAGTACAATATAAAGTCAAGTATAAAACGGTGTTCATTGTCAGGTTGGGTGTACCTCACCTGGTAGTTGTATTCCATCAGGAAGGTGTACCTCTCCTGGTATGGGCACCACCGCGACTGGAAATTGAGACATAAGATGAAAAAAAAAAATGAATTACGACAATCATTTCTATCAGGAAATGTTGCCTGACTAGCTTCGTTACAATACAACAGAAAGCATTAAAGAGTTTAACACAAAATTATTATGTTCCTTTAAGTCTTCTAGAAGATGTATGTATTATTTGCAACTAACTTAAAGAACGAAATATCTAACTGGAATATTGTCACTGCAGATCTTTCTCAGTAATAGGTATCAATATATACAAATATTATTTACACTATTTACATTGTTCGGATTGTTGTTGTGACCAAGTAAATGGTTAAGAAATAACAAAAAAAAGGTTGCAGATAAATCGTGTACTGAACAGTAAATACAACAGAAGAGTGTTACACGACTTGGGATTGTGTGTCGGTTGACCGGCGTTCAGTTTATATCACTGTTCCCCCGGGGCTTACTTTCCTACTAATTTTATAGTAAGTGGAAGTCTACAATAGACTCATTAGAGGAAGGATACCGCAATAGTTGTCCTCATCTTTTTTGCCATATTCACGACATTTCGACCGTTGTACGCCCCGGCCTTCTTTAGATGTTTGGAATTTTGAACCGAACCCTTTTTTTTTCATCTGTAGGAAAAGATTGTTCTAGTTCCACGTGCCGTGCCTCTTCCGGATATCTCAGCATCAGCTATCTCTCTTTTACCTCTACAAGTTTTTGTTCACCTTTGCTGAAGCCAGGTATTGAACTTACATCTCTGTCAAGTCACAGGATTCAACCAACGCCTTTATCCACTGGGTCATGTGTCCTTGATGAAACGTCGTGAATATGGCAACAAAGATGTAGAAAAACAGTCCGAACAATGTAAATAGTTAAATAATTACAGTACCTCATCTCAGAAATATAAATAGTTATACTAATATTAGTTTCAAGAGAGAAGTAAAAGATATTATTAAAAGAACGAGAACTCCAATAATTGCAATAAAAAAAGCTAAAATTTGGAATACTGATTTTAAAGGGTGCCTGTACTGGTAAACTTGAGGGTACAAACTACCAAACAATAAAACTACTAATGAAGTTAAAAACTTGAAAAATCTGCAATACCAACATGGTGTAACTTCATAACGATCATTGTCTATTACGTTTGTTTTCAAATAGCGAGAGTTCTCCATATTGTGTAGGCATATACACCAGCTTAGCAAGAACCGTCTGTATTTGAAAGAAAAAATAATTTAAACTAATCAACAAAGGGGGACTGAAATCGTCGTGAGACAATGATGTGTGTGTGTGTGTGTGTGTGTGTAACGCGGATCTTTTATTGGTGGTGAAACCGCGTGATAGTGGAGGTATGGTCGGTGAGTGCTTTTTATATTTGTACGCCAGACAGTTTTTGAAGAAGCATCTGCTAACACCTCCGCACACTTGACAAGGTGTCATATGTCATTAAAAATCTCTTTAGGAGTCAAATATTTGTGTCGTTGCGAAATTGTTCATATTTATCAGTTTATTCTATTTCTTCTACTTATATAACTTTATTTATATCAACTTCATATATATGTAGCTACAAAAAGCAATATACAGGTCTGTATGCTTACATTGTCTTATTTATTGTAGACAAATTTACTCCAGACATAGACGTGTCTTAAGTAAATATTGCATTTTTCTTTCATTCGCTAGAGCACTTTGACAAGGTGTAGTCGTTAAGAAGCCTCACTTGCTAGATCAGATTACGACTGAGTATCGAGTTTGATCCTCACTGGGTGCTCCACACTTTTAGCCTTGTGCCGCATCTAAATTGCGCTTAGAAAATCATTTATCGTGTCTCGGCCGTTTGGGCTGAGATGCAATGACCAGCTAAGACCAGTTTTGTACCCGAACCCGCGTAAGCGGTGGCTGTGTAAATTTTGACCATGGTCCAATTGGAAACGCTCGGGTTCCCCACGTTAAACAAATGACCTTGTGTCGCATCCTAAACCCAGTTGGGGTGCCAGGTGAATACCTCGCTTACAACCAACTATCGAATGCGACGGGTTTTCAGTTATATCCTAAATAACAATTTCTGCATTGGTTAATTCAAAACTTTTGGAATGAGTATTAAATACGAATACAGAAAAATACATATAAATTTTACATATACATGCTTTATTGACTGTTAGCTGGACAAAGAGAACAACTTTTGTAAAAATAGATTCAACAAGCAACACTCAAAAGTTATAAATGACTGTCAGTCAATTTAGTTACCTGGCATTAATTTTAATGAGTAGATCTGGCTAATTTTGGATTGCAAGGAGAATGATGGCATCTACTGAAAGTTTCAATAAATCTGGTTGGATTGTCTACAACAGAATGATGCAGATCTGATATATTTGATGAACCAGATAGATTTAAATAGTTAAAATATTCAAGTTTGCTTCTTGTTTGATAATATGTATTTATTTACTATTTACATATCCCAATACACAAAATGTTGTTCATATAATCGATAACGTTTGATGAAATTCCTTACCACTGACGACGCATTTCGTTCTTGATTTGCAATACACCAGACAGAGGCTGGGGGGCTGAGTTTTTGTCAGACGTTTCATAAGTTTAAAAAAATAAATCTCATTAACTTACCGGGAAAATTATATGGTTTCTTAGTGCAGAAAATTAGCTAAACAGAAGGATTGGTAGAGTAGAGGTAAAGTCAGTGGGCGTTGAAATATTTTTTTTTTATTATTTCGGGTTAGAATTTTCACTTTATATACAATATCATTAGAATGATGTATAGTATTGACGAATTTTTAAATTAAAATCTCGTATTGTCGAGCTTTATATAGACAGATAGTAATAAATAAAACATTATATATATATATATATATATATATATATATATATTAGTCCTCAAACATTTATATCATGGAGTAACAGTTCTGTTAATTTATTGTTTTATCTAACAAGACCATCCCACACTTAACTCGATGTTTTCCGTTAGGAACCGAAATTAAATCCGGCAACTTAATCGACAGACTAATTAAGTACCACATACATAACGATGCAGACTTTAATAATATTTTCACTCAAGGATTAATCATTGCCATTTTAGACAATAGAACAGAGAGTCACATAAAAGCACTACGAAATTTAACTAAAACTAAGGGCATTTCAATCACTACCCCAGACAAAGGACGCGGCATTTTTTATAAAAAATACAATTATATATCAATTTAATATATTTCATTGCATGAAAAGAGGGATATGCACAGAATGAGAGAGTAACAGGCTAATAGATACATTTGAAGCCTGACGATGTAGATAGATAAAAGTCGATGAGCATATGTATGTTGAAAATTACGTTCAAACATAGTATATTTCGTGGGGCAGATTAGGGCAGATAAGTCATTGAATATTTTCTGTAAATGCATCCAGGTCCTTTGTTCCTCTTAGTGTGCTCTTTGTTCGCTTGCTTTGTACTGACAATCGCTCTAAGTCATGCGCTGGGATCTATAAAGCAATATGAGATTAAAGACACAAAACAAAATGTATGCCAAATTACGGCGCATGCTCACTGATGCAGAGTGACATCCGTTCATGATCTTTCGATCTGCTTTTATTGAAAGCGTTCATATGACCCATATCAACATTAAAAGGGCTTTTGCTTTAGGGTCAAAAGGTAAGATTCTGCTGATTAAATCCAATACACTATAGGGAGGGACAAAAGGTAAGATTTTGTTGATTAAATCCAATACACTATAGGGAGGGGTTGTTGGAATTTAAGCCCTTCCCCAG